AATGCTGTTTACAACTCTCATTCCACCACTAAATGCTGTTTACAAACTCTTATTCCAGCATTAAATGCTGTTTACAAACTCTCATTCCAGCACTAAATGCTGTTTACAAACTCTCATTCCAGCACTAAATGCTGTTTACAAACTTCATTCCAGCACTAAATGCTGTTTACAAACTCTCATTCCAACATTAAATGCTGTTTACAAACTCTCATTCCAGCACTAAATGCTGTTTACACTCTCATTCCAGCATTAAATGCTGTTTACAAACTCTCATTCCAGCACTAAATGCTGTTTACAAACTCTCATTCCAGCACTAAATGCTGTTTACAAACTCTCATTCCAGCACTAAATGCTGTTTACAAACTCTCATTCTCAGCACTAAATGCTGTTTACAAACTCTCATTCCAGCACTTAAATGCTGTTTACAAACTCTCATTCCAGCACTAAATGCTGTTTACAAACTCTCATTCCAGCACTAAATGCTGTTTACAAACTCTCATTCCAGCATTAAATGCTGTTTACAAACTCTCATTCCAGCACTAAATGCTGTTTACAAACTCTCATCCCACTAAATGCTGTTTACAAAACTATTCCAGCATTAAATGCTGTTTACAAACTCTCATTCCAGCACTAAATGCTGTTTACAAACTCTCATTCCACACTAAATGCTGTTTACAAACTCTCATTCCAGCACTAAATGCTGTTTACAAACTCTCATTCCAGCATTAAATGCTGTTTACAAACTCTCATTCCAGCACTAAATGCTGTTTACAAACTCTCATTCCAGCACTAAATGCTGTTTACAAACTCTCATTCCAGCACTAAATGCTGTTTACAAACTCTCATTCCAGCACTAAATGCTGTTTACAAACTCTCATTCCAGCACTAAATGCTGTTTACAAACTCTCATTCCAGCATAAATGCTGTTTACAAACTCTCATTCCAGCACTAAATGCTGTTTACAAACTCTCATTCCAGCACTAAATGCTGTTTACAAACTCTCATTCCAGCATTAAATGCTGTTTACAAACTCTCATTCCAGCACTAAATGCTGTTTACAAACTCTCATTCCAGCATTAAATGCTGTTTACAAACTCTCATTCCAGCACTAAATGCTGTTTACAAACTCTCATTCCAGCACTAAATGCTGTTTACAAACTCTCATTCCAGCATTAAATGCTGTTTACAAACTCTCATTCCAGCCACTAAATGCTGTTTACAAACTCTCATTCCAGCACTAAATGCTGTTTACAAACTCTCATTCCAGCATTAAATGCTGTTTACAAACTCTCATTCCAGCACTAAATGCTGTTTACAAACTCTCATTCCAGCACTAAATGCTGTTTACACTCTCATTCCAGCATAAATGCTGTTTACAAACTCTCATTCCAGCATAAATGCTGTTTACAAACTCTCATTCCAGCATAAATGCTGTTTACAACTCTCATTCCAGCACTAAATGCTGTTTACAAACTCTCATTCCAGCACTAAATGCTGTTTACAAACTCTCATTCCAGCATTAAATGCTGTTTACAAACTCTCATTCCAGCATAAATGCTGTTTACAAACTCTCATTCCAGCACTAAATGCTGTTTACAAACTCTCATTCCAGCACTAAATGCTGTTTACAAACTCTCATTCCAGCATTAAATGCTGTTTACAAACTCTCATTCAGCACTAAATGCTGTTTACAAACTCTCATTCCAGCATTAAATGCTGTTTACAAACTCATTCCAGCACTAAATGCTGTTTACAAACTCTCATTCCAGCACTAAATGCTGTTTACAAACTCTCATTCCAGCATTAAATGCTGTTTACAAACTCTCATTCCAGCATTAAATGCTGTTTACAAACTCTCATTCCAGCACTTAAATGCTGTTTACAAACTCTCATTCCAGCATTAAATGCTGTTTACAAACTCTCATTCCCAGCATAAATGCTGTTTACAAACTCTCATTCCAGCATTAAATGCTGTTTACAAACTCTCATTCCAGCATTAAATGCTGTTTACAAACTCTCATTCCAGCATTAAATGCTGTTTACAAACTCTCATTCCAGCATTAAATGCTGTTTACAAACTTTCATTCCAGCATTAAATGCTGTTTACAAACTCTCATTCCAGCACTTAAATGCTGTTTACAAACTCTCATTCCAGCACTAAATGCTGTTTACAAACTCTCATTCCAGCATTAATGCTGTTTACAAACTCTCATTCCAGCATAAATGCTGTTTACAAACTCTCATTCCAGCACTAAATGCTGTTTACAAACTCTCATTCCAGCACTAAATGCTGTTTACAAACTCTCATTCCAGCACTTAAATGCTGTTTACAAACTCTCATTCCAGCACTAAATGCTGTTTACAAACTCTCATTCCAGCACTAAATGCTGTTTACAAACTCTCATTCCAGCACTAAATGCTGTTTACAAACTCTCATTCCAGCACTAAATGCTGTTTACAAACTCTCATTCCAGCACTAAATGCTGTTTACAAACTCTCATTCCAGCATAAATGCTGTTTACAAACTCTCATTCCAGCACTAAATGCTGTTTACAAACTCTCATTCCAGCATTAAATGCTGTTTACAAACTCTCATTCCAGCATAAATGCTGTTTACAAACTCTCATTCCAGCACTAAATGCTGTTTACAAACTCTCATTCCAGCATTAAATGCTGTTTACAAACTCTCATTCCAGCACTAAATGCTGTTTACAAACTCTCATTCCAGCACTAAATGCTGTTTACAAACTCTCATTCCAGCATAAATGCTGTTTACAAACTCTCATTCCAGCACTAAATGCTGTTTACAAACCTCATTCCAGCATTAAATGCTGTTTACAAACTCTCATTCCAGCATAAATGCTGTTTACAAACTCTCATTCCAGCATTAAATGCTGTTTACAAACTCTCATTCCAGCACTAAATGCTGTTTACAAACTCTCATTCCAGCACTAAATGCTGTTTACAAACTCTCATTCCAGCACTAAATGCTGTTTACAAACTCTCATTCCAGCACTAAATGCTGTTTACAAACTCTCATTCCAGCACTAAATGCTGTTTACAAACTCTCATTCCAGCACTAAATGCTGTTTACAAACTCTCATTCCAGCACTAAATGCTGTTTACAAACACTCATTCCAGCACTAAATGCTGTTTACAAACTCATTCCAGCACTAAATGCTATTTACAAACACTCATTCCAGCACTAAATGCTGTTTACAAACACTCATTCCAGCACAAATGCTATTTACAAACACTCATTCCAGCACTAAATGCTATTTACAAACTCTCATTCCAGCACTAAATGCTGTTTACAAACTCTCATTCCAGCACTAAATGCTGTTTACAAACTCTCATTCCAGCACTAAATGCTTATTTACAAACTCTCATTCCAGCACTAAATGCTATTTACAAACACTCATTCCAGCACTAAATGCTGTTTACAAACTCTCATTCCAGCACTAAATGCTGTTTACAAACACTCATTCCAGCACTAAATGCTATTTACAAACACTCATTCCAGCACTAAATGCTATTTACAAACACTCATTCCAGCACTAAATGCTGTTTACAAACACTCATTCCAGCACTAAATGCTGTTTACAAACACTCATTCCAGCACTAAATGCTGTTTACAAACTCTCATTCCAGCACTAAATGCTGTTTACAAACTCATTCCAGCACTAAATGCTGTTTACAAACACTCATTCCAGCACTAAATGCTGTTTACAAACACTCATTCCAGCACTAAATGCTGTTTACAAACACTCATTCCAGCACTAAATGCTGTTTACAAACTCTCATTCCAGCACTAAATGCTGTTTACAAACTCTCATTCCAGCACTAAATGCTGTTTACAAACTCTCATTCCAGCACTAAATGCTGTTTACAAACTCTCATTCCAGCACTAAATGCTGTTTACAAACTCTCATTCCAGCACTAAATGCTGTTTACAAACTCTCATTCCAGCACTAAATGCTGTTTACAAACTCTCATTCCAGCATAAATGCTGTTTACAAACTCTCATTCCAGCACTAAATGCTGTTTACAAACTCTCATTCCAGCACTAAATGCTGTTTACAAACTCTCATTCCAGCACTAATGCTGTTTACAAACTCTATTCCAGCACTAAATGCTGTTTACAAACTCTCATTCCAGCACTAAATGCTGTTTACAAACTCTCATTCCAGCACTAAATGCTGTTTACAAACTCTCATTCCAGCACTAAATGCTGTTTACAAACTCTCATTCCAGCATAAATGCTGTTTACAAACTCTCATTCCAGCACTAAATGCTGTTTAGAAACTCTCATTCCAGCACTAAATGCTGTTTACAAACTCTCATTCCAGCACTAAATGCTGTTTACAAACTCTCATTCCAGCACTAAATGCTGTTTACAAACTCTCATTCCAGCATTAAATGCTGTTTACAAACTCATTCCAGCACTAAATGCTATTTACAAACACTCATTCCAGCACTAAATGCTATTTACAAACACTCATTCCAGCACTAAATGCTGTTTACAAACTCTCATTCCAGCACTAAATGCTGTTTACAAACTCTCATTCTAGCACTAAATGCTGTTTACAAACTCATTCTAGCACTAAATGTTTTTACAAACTTCATTCCAGCACTAAATGCTGTTTACAACACTCATTTCAGCACTAAATGCCTTTTACAAACTCTCATTCCAGCACTAAATGCTATTTACAAACACTAATTCCAGCACTAAATGCTGTTTACAAACACTCATTCCAGCACTAAATGCTATTTACAAACACTACATTCCAGCACTAAATGCTATTTACAAACACTCATTCCAGCACTAAATGCTATTTACAAACACTCATTCCAGCACTAAATGCTATTTACAAACTCATTCCAGCACTAAATGCTGTTTACAAACACTCATTCCAGCACTAAATGCTGTTTACAAACTCTCATTCCAGCACTAAATTCTGTTTACAAACACTCATTCCAGCACTAAATGCTGTTTACAAACTCTCATTCCAGCACTAAATGCTGTTTACAAACTCATTCCAGCACTAAATGCTGTTTACAAACTCTCATTCCAGCACTAAATGCTGTTTACAAACTAATTCCACGTAATGTGGCAACAGAGCCAAGTTTAGCACATTTATACCTTGAGGTATAAATGTTTTGATATCGTGGGATGGCTGGTAATTCAGATTATAATTCTCATTGATTGGCTGGGAAATGACATATACAAAGATTTTCAACCCAAATCTTGGATAGATGCAATCAAACATAGGGGCTGCAGTGGCAAATTGTGTTGTGAGGACAATTGCCTTTCTTGGATCCCTCCCCTGGTCTCCCCGTGATTTGTTCATGTTGGAGATTAAAAAATTATGAAATCCAGATTGAGTCGCCAGATGTATATGGATAATCAGTGACAGAAATCTCATAAAGTGCATTGATATACCTGTATTATACGATATTGAATAAAATGGCATATTGTTAACCATAAACCATTCTCAGGAAAAAACTACCAGTCCTCAACGCTGTTCTCCTTGGTCAGTGTGGACGACTGGCAAACTTAGCAGCCATTATCTGGTACCCAGGGTCTAGCACAACATTCCAAGTGTTGATGCTCGTTTTTGTGTTTGTATCATCTGTGCAAAGCACTAGAGGTGAGTATTTACTATATTGTTCTTATTTAGAAATTGGAATGTTGATAGTAATGTCACTAATATATAATAATAAAGCCCTAAAACCTTTTTGCTTTGATTCCAGCTGCATTACATTTAGGGAAAATAGAAAGTTTGCTCCTACTGACTGTGGCATTTTCAAGCAGTATGTATTCATGTCACAAATTACAGCCGGTTTTGCTTGACAGCTACCATTCTTATCTCAATAGCCATGTGTACACTAAACATCCTTTTGTATTATGAAACCTGGTTAATAAACATCGTTTTAAAAATCTTGAATTGAGAAAAAAGTTGACGTAGTTATTTTCCTGTACCTTGTTAATGTGTAATTAAGTAATAACGAACAGTTATGGTAAGTGATGAATTTCAAAGTATTGTCAGTATTGTAACCCGAAGATATTTTTTTATACTTCTCTCAAAATAAATAGTAAAAATGTGTTGAGTATATAATGAATCCTTATCGTTTGTACTGGAAAGAATAAAATTACACTGATGAAATTATCAACCGAAAAAAAATGTAGAAAAAAAAAACGAATGGCAATAATTAAGGCAGAAAAAATGGGATTCCAAACATTATTGTCCCAATTTCGAGAAAAAGCGAAGCAAAGAAAGATGTTTTTTCACAATCTTCCGTAAATGATGATTTATTTATTTATTGTTAACAATAAACCTTATGACATGGACAGAAGACGGGGATAAAGAAGAGAAGGAAAGGAGAAGAAAAGACCAAGCAAAATTAGTTGGGGCGAGGACTGAGGTTGAAGGCAGGGGTGATCCCCACATTGGGCCTCAGTCTCTATCTCTATCCCCCCCCCCCCCACGCAAAAACGGGCATGGAATTTTCATTCACTGTTTTTATTCCACCCAAAGCTCAAAATTTTAAAATAGTTTATTAATAGCTTTGAGTTTGGAGGATGAATAGGGTATAAGCATGTAATCTTAGATCATGATTAGGTACTTTTAATAGTCCTCAGTAGTTTCTAAAATTGAGTTTGTTTGGGAAATCAGTTATGCGAAAGTTTTCACTTGAAGTTGAAAAGAGGAGATTGATGTTTAAGGGGCAGAGGAAGAGGTATGGATGCTGTAGATGGGAATTGGGGGGACGTAGATTTCCTTATGCAATGAATTGAGTGGAGAGGCGTGGTAGGCACTGGGGAAGTAGAGATTGGAGTGTCTGCATTTAGAATGGTGAATGAATGTAACGGGGGGATGGGGTAGAAGTGGAGACAAGGAGTATGAGTAACTAGGGAAGAAATAGAAACATTTTGGGGAGAAGAGGTAGAATGAAGGAAATCACTGGAGTAAGTAAAACAAGAAAAATCTATCTACCAGGCTTCGCATAAAGTGTGGTCAAGTTGGAATCAGAGAACTGCTATCTCAAATCGAACTTTTAAGGAGGGCAGCCCTTCCACTATGGGAGCCACCACAATTGGTACATGTGTGTGATCGTGCAGGGCAGTTTGAACGGACATGGTCAGGTTGGACACATTCATGACAAAGAGCTGTGGAGCGACAATGCTTAGCAAGGTGGCCAAAACACACACAACTTCTAACATTGATAAGGAGGGGTCCATATGGTCAGACAGGACAGGGCTCTTCACTAATATAACCATTATGAGTAGGTCATGTGTACAGAAGGTAAATCTTAGCAATATTAGCATAGAATTTTCTGGGGCCTCTGTGGTGATCTGCTACACTATACATCGACATATTACTCCAGGAGGTAATGCAATCATATTGAAATATCCTTTCTCACCTCCGACATCTCCCTCAGGCAAACGAAATGAAAACCGAAGAACTCAAGGTGGCAACACTCTAACCCAGTGCGACCCGCGAGGTGGCGTTAAATGCCCTGCAATTCCCGAGGTGGTTTGTGGGGTTGCTTTGTAAATGTCGCCCATTTGACCAATGGCATGAACTTTATTGCGTGGCTCCTTCTCCAAGACCAGAAACCAACCACAGGCCCCATACAAAAAGGCGTTTATCTCGCTGAGTGAGGAGGATGCCGCGCCCTCGCCACTCTTGCTATTCCGCTGCTCAATATTTTATTATTTTTTATACCAAATAAATTATTATTTTATGTTTTATTGTATCATGTATAAACCCCCCGAAGATGATACTTTCATTTTAACGTTTTAAGATTTATATATATATATATATATATATTTTTTTTTTTTTTTTTTTAAGAGCAAGAGGTCAATTTGATACGTATTAAATGTTAATTATTTTGATTATTTTATTTTTTTCTTAACTTTTTATTCGTGGTTTATATTAAATACTCTACGTGATTTTCACATTGGTTCTTTTTATACATTTGTTTTAATTACTTTTTATGGGTTATCATTTGAATTTATTTTACTATTTTAATTTAGATTTATATTTTCACACTAGTTTTAAGATTTGTTTTATTAATTTTAATTAGAAAAGAGAACCAACTTCTTACACTGTTTCCCGCCCACAATTAACAAGGGAAGTGCAGACATAAGTCAGGGGGAATTCTTGCCGGTGGTCTGCTAGTAGGAAGACGGTCTGTGGGACCCCGGAATGGGCTTCCACCTGTCTTAAGATAGCTAAGTGGTCGTGAGGATATATCAACATAAGGTAGTAAGAGAAATTGGCCAGACTATTTATCCGACTAAGTGACCTCGTGATAACTACATTTTTTAAAATTATCATCGGGCTTTTTATTGTCGTGTGTTTATTGTGTTCGTGTTTTATGTTCATATTTTAATGTATTAAGTGTCTTCTGTTTTATCGTTTGTTTTATTGTTCTAATTCGTTTTACTGGTTCATTTTAATGTTTTAAGTTCATTTTGCTATCGTTCCTTTTATTGTATTCTGTGTTTTACTTCATTTTATGATTTGTTTTAATACCTTCGTTTCGTTTTATGATTGTGTTTCGTTTTACTACTTCGTTTTATTGTTTTATCAGTTTGGCACCGGAATAAATAAATAAGTATCTTTCGTTTTATCAACACCCGAACAGGTAGATAGAGGACGAGGGCAGGAGGATGGATGATGGGTAATGCTTAATGGTAAAAGGTTACAGAGCAAAATAAATGTGCTAGACATCAAAGGTCATATATTACTGTGGTGACGTGTAGAATTGAAGCGGGTAAAGAGGAGGGTTAGTTAATTATTAAATGTGCTACATGTCAAAAGTTGTATAGCCGTTCAAGATAGTATAGCACTGAAAGGGGCAAAGAGGGGGAAGGGTAGAGAGGGTAAACAAGGGGATCAGATTAAATTAATGGAAGAAATGTGGGATTCTGCAAAGATGTTCGTAGGGAAAGGTATGGATTAGAAATGGGAGAAATGGGGTTTAAGGGAGATTAGATCATAGTTCAAGAAATGTCAGGAGGGAGAGAATCCAGGGAAGGGGGTTGTTGTGATAAAGAGCCATGTGTATCCAGGAAATGGAAGGGATAATGAGGAAGGGGGATTATGCAGATGAAGCAAGGGCGAATGGGAAGTGTAGGGAGGGAGTGAAATGAAGGGATGTAGGAGGAACATAAATGGAAGTAGAGACTTTGGAAGATGGATAAGGTGTATGTTATCTTGGGTCATGATTAAATAGTTTAGAATGTCTTCGAGAGTTTCTGAAGTAGATTTGGTTAGAGAGGTCTAAGAAGCATGCTTTTTTTTTTATGAGGAGAGAAGATGAGATAGGCATCTGAAGAAGGAGGTAGAAGCGGAAACGTAATATGTAGAGTAGTTATAGTGGTGGTGATATAGAAGCATCTTGGGAGCACTGGAGTAGGGAGTAAGTAAAACCTCATTGACGTGCTTTCTGTTTGGCCTTGTGTAAAGTGAGGCCAAGTCTGAATCTGAGAATTGCCACTTCAGACTCAACTTGTGGAAGGCACTACAATTGGCATATTTGCGTGACTGTGCAGAGAAGTTTGATCGATCATGTCCAGGTTGGGCACATAGGGAACATCGAGCTGTGGAGTAGCAGTGTTTGGCAGGTTAGCCTAGACAGTTCCGACACTGACAAAGGGGAGGTTAATATAGTCAGACATGGAGGGCTTCTCCGCCAATATAAAAATCATGGAGATCATGTCTACGGATAATAATATTGGCAATAATGGTGGGGGGCATACGGTGACCTCTAGGAGACATTATATTGATACTGAATCATAACCAAGATTTAAAGAACTAGTAGTATATGATGACTTTGTCATGACCCGTGACGATCTGTCTGTTCAAGTTATAGGAATGGTGGGTAGGAATCCAGGGGTTTCCCAGAATACTCAAGTGGGAATGGGTTATTGGAGCTATGTTTTTTTTTTTTTTTTTTTTTTTTTTTTTGTGGGCTAGAATAGTGCGTGTAGCTTCACAACCGGCGTTAACATACTTATTGAAGAAATATAGAGGAGAGTGAAAGCCATAGAGCTTTACATCGCGTGCGTAGCGGAGCTTCGCTCCCGGTGTGAATCCGCCTTGAGGCTGGCCATGCATGGGCTTGCCAGTGAAGTCAGTCATAGCTGATTATGTTTTAGCCTCAGATGTAACTGTTGACTAGGCGGGAACGATCGGGAAGGCTGTGGAAGGAAACTTTGCCTACTTGTTTTTGTAAGCATTGCTGGAAGAGGAGAGCTTTGTCAGAGTAAGAGGCTGTAGAGATCACAACAAATCGAATTCAATTGGCTGGGAGTACTCAAAAGGTTTGCAGAGGTGGAGGTAGAAGGACGGGGTAGTACTGCAGACAATTGGCATTGAGGTGGTGTTGAGAGTCGTGATCAAAGGAGAGCTTAGGATCAAGGAATGGGGGTAATAAATTTATTTACTTTTTTGAAAATCTGCAGCATCAACATCGAAGGTCATTAGCGATATATACAAATTATAGCAATAGGGCGAGCCTTGGGGGCAAAGTTCCCAGGTGAGGAATAGTCATACAGCATTGTAATAAAAGAATTATGGAAAAAAGGTTATTTACAACAAAATGTGTGAGGTGTCAAAGGTTGTAGAGCGCTGTTGGTTAATAATGTAGTGAAAAGGGTAAAGAGCAAACGGAGTATGAAGGCCGTTCAGGACTGACACAAAGCTAGCCTTCCATCCTTTCAGCACGGCTCTCATTTTAGGACACGGATAGGATAAGGGATTAAACAGAGAATGAAAAAGGAAAGGGGGGGGGAGAAAAACCATAATAAATTAGTTAAGGCAAGGGCTGAGGTCCAAGGCGGGGGGATGCCCCAAATTGGGCCTCAGTCTCTGTCTCCAAAGCCCCCCCTCCACGCCTATGACGATTAGAATCAGGGGCGATAGTTCATAGCGGGGCAAGCCTCATTACCCCTAATAAAGGTCAAAATCTTCATTACTGGCCATGATAAGCCTGGAGGATGTTAGGGTTCCTTTGGGGTGTAAGGGCTAGACAACTTAACAGGGGAATACCGTGCCCACGGCTTTCCTAGGCCGTTCATGACTGGCACAAAG